GGGATATTGCAATTAAAGTCACAATCCTTATCGATGCAATGGAAACCTAGCAAGTGACAACAGCAACTGCGCTACCACTCTGTGCGGTGATACTGTTCCTTGGTAATATCAAAAATGTATTGGTACTCTTACTCTACGTATGTTTCTATCAAATCATCAAAACCGTGGTATTATCATCATTACATAGTATAAAACAAAGTCGCTGTCGCTGCCTGTCCGTCCCTATGTATGCCTAAATCTTTAAAACTACGCAACAGATTTTGAAACGTGTTTTTTAATAGATAGAGCGATTCTAAAAGAAGATTTACATATATAATACATGTACACCCGAGCAAAGTAGAGTAGCTAGTTATTATTATATAATCTTTTCCATTGAATAAAATATTTTTAAGCTGAAACGTGAAGTAACATTCCTAAAAAAGGAATAAACAGTACCGAGAAATTGAAGATAATCTTTACCTTCTCTCTCTCTGTTGCTATGGAAATAGTATGTATTTAAAGATCACCCACAGATTTCTTATTCATTACTCACAGCCGAAAATATGAATCATTGTGCTGTAAACCAAATTTTAAATACAAAATCAAGACTTTTGAAAACACTTTTGAACAAAGATTGTCGCAAACAGACTATTTTTGCAGACGTAACGTTCACTCACAATACACAGTCAGTACTGTGTAAAAACAATACACTACGTACATATATTTCAACATTAAACGATTTGATATACGATCAAAAATGAAAACAAAACTCAAAGATCTAGAAATTCGGAATAGTCTAATCTAAGTGTAAACAGGTCTTCGAATAGGTGTGGTGTACACGAGTATGTATATATTTGTCGCTGCCCGTGTTGTGTTCATTGCTTGTTAGGTCCGCGTTACTGTACAAAGAGACGAGAGTAAATATTTATAAGGCAATTTTTTTGATGTAGAATGGTTTATTTCGTGAATACACGGCTCCTTCAGTGATCTACGAGGAGCGCGCTGCTCGCGGCAGACAACTAAAAAGTAACAACGCGCTGTTACGTATTTATTAACAGTAGTGGAGGCAGCTACAATGGCCGTACATCGGAACGATTGCACTAATTGCAGCCTCAGAGATGAAAATGTAAAGGCAGGAACAATCGAGCTGCAGGTGAGTGATCAAATACGTCTACAGTTCACAGTGAATGAACAATTCATATTGAGCTGCAGTGTCGTGTGAATTATATGTACATATGATTAGAGACAATTGTAAAGCTTATTATAATAAATATACATTTAGACATTTTAAAGCTGTTATTTTTTTATTATATTCCAACATTCTGATATCACTACATTTGGAATGCAGTTTAGAAAATTGAAATTAAATAGGAAATATAAAAAATGCAACAACAAATATAAATTATACAAATTTTTAATAATAAAAAAAATACTTAGACATTTGCAAACAATTTCTTTCTAGGTTCCAATTTTTCTTCTCGATAGTAATTCAACTATTGCTTTTACTATATTTTTTTACAGATAGATTCGACAAAAATATTCGATACCCACTGCACAAATATTAAGTGAAACGAAAATGGATTAAATGATATGTTATAATTGATGCAGAGGGCGCGGCGGCGCGGCGGTTGTAGTCATTTATGTACAAGAAGCAGTGAGTGGTAGTATATTTGCGACGTCATCAATCACAACGGCTGTCAAATGAACGTGGGCGGTCCCAGGGCAGCCCGGGGGATGCACGCCGCACCACAACACCTCATCACTATCCATATTGCCACAGTCGATGATGAACGTCAAAAAATACATGTATATTTCATTTTATTCAGTTCAGTGATACAAAATCTAATTCTCAATTTTTCCTATATTATGCTAAAAGAAGTACTAAATCTGATTACAAATGAGTGGAGAGGAGAACCGGAACGATGGCGGGGGTGGGGAGGACTGTCGCGGGTGAACCAAACGGGCCGCGACGTGTGACAGACGAGCGGAACGATCTGAGCGTACGTACGTATGTATGTATGTATGTACGGTGGAGCCATGGAACTAATCTTAGTCAAAACGTCAGCCTCTCATCATTAATAACAAGAGTAAGTAATGTTCACTTTTACGAATATATACGAACATGTGATAAATCGAAAGAATTTATTTGCGACAACGAACACGAATAGAAAAATCAATCAGAGAAATATACAGTGCGTATAATATGTAAAAGATATAAAAGAAAACAAAATGTTACTATCGTAAAAAACAATATAAACGGTAAGTTACGTTTGACGCAAAAAGTTTATCCCGCGCAGAAGTTTTCACAAGACGCTGCCACTAATGATAATATTTAGACATGAGATTTAGAATCTGCGAGTGTGAATGTTGACTCAATGTAGCGTACAGCCATCATGAATATTCAAATATATTATTAACGTAGCATGTAATTCTAAATACATAGATCTAAATCATCAATGTAAAGGAAACACACTCGTAACTCAACAATGGAATGATAAGTAACCGTGTCTACATATTGTATATTGGAAGATTGGAAGACTAACAACAGTTGGTACCCTCATAAGTACCAACCCTATGTTATACATAACCAAGTAAGTAACAACTATTTTGGCAAAAAAAACGTATAAACTAGTTTGGATACGAAAAAATAAAGTATTAGGAAAGTAGTAAAAATAAAAATATTTTTCAAAATCTGTTTTTATTGCTTTAAAAACGTATTTTTGTAGCTCTAGGACAAATGTCACAACTCACAATTGACATCTAACATTTCGTTCAGTGAATTTGTATTTGTGAATGAGTATTTTGTTTTACGCATCGTAGTAAAGGTTGAAAATAAAGTAATTTTGCATACTTTATATAAAAGTATAAATTATAATTATCAAAAATAAAGTTATTATAAAGTATGGTTGGCAGTATTACACACACACAATATTACAGTGTACTTATTTATTTTCAGACAAGAGAAAATATAGCTTTGCGGTCGAATTCCTGAGCGATCGATGTTTAGAGGTAACAGAACAAACATCGCCACCGTCGGACGGGCGCGGGGGACGGGGGGCGGGGGGCGGGGGACGGAGGGGGCGTAGCGACCTGTTGCTGTGAGGCACTCGGCCCTCAGTGATCCCGTTCTATAGCGTCACGTTGCCTCAGGAGTGGGCCCGGTCCGCGCCCCGGATGGGACCCGCGCTGTTTGCTCTCGTCATGTGCGACGACGTCAGATTGCCAATTGAAAACGCTTCAACGGAAATTCTCGACTGAACAGAACATTTTCTTATTTTCGATTTGTTTATTTATTGGAGATACGATATTCCTATATCTATTGGTTGCGTCAAATGAAATATAATAAAACAAGCTACTCGGCCCGGCTTCGCACCTAAACCATCCTCTTAAATCACTCTATTAAAAAAACAGCTTCAAAATTCGTTGCGTAGTTTTACAGATTTAAGCATACATAGAGACAGACAGCGACAGCGACTTCATTATTTTGGTAGTAACTTACCTTACAATTTCACGGAACGAAAATGCAAGACGAGAGCTAAGGACACTCCAAACCCTCAGTCTTTATCCCATTATATGGAAACGAAGCATGGAGAATATGTTATAGAAAATGTCAATACATAATTTATACAAATTCAAATATTATTAATTCGATATCAGTAAATAGAATAGTATAGAAAAATTATTGAAACAAACTTAATTTAAGCACTTTTAAATAGTCACAGTTATCCTTTTTTTTATCTACCGCTCATTCGGAAAGCTGTCTCATCACAAGAAGAACGAGGAAGAAACTTGTGTGTTGCTCTTTTAAATAATCCTTGTAAGTTCACATTTACAAGTCGAAACGTGTGAATACAAACTACCAACCAGCAGTAATTTATTTGGGTCAAATATAAATGTACAATAAGATTAAATCAGTCGTAGTGATTAGAGCGGAACAGTCCCTACAAGCAGCACTCGTTCACGAGTATGACGGATGAGCCACCCAGCATTGCTCTCGACTATATTTTAGAGAGCCCAATGACCCGGCCCACCACGCCGCCACATGTCTGTACATTTTAGTGAGCATGACTAGTCATTCCACTCGACCTCGTCACAGCTACTTAAAATTACTATATGGTAGTTATAATATTCACAGTTCGCAATAGTCGCTAGTTACGTAAATTACGAGAATATACCTAGCAATCAAATAGTGTAACTAACAGCTGTAACAGTTTAGTAGTTAGTTACGTACGTACCTACACAGAGGATAGTGTCAAGTTAACCTCGCAAACTATGGATTGTGCCAGGTTTTAAAGCTAGTGGAGCTAACATGTATTATTGGTACTATAAAAACTACTCACACAGAAGTTACTATTTTATACACTCTTTCAAATTAATATACAAATACACATCTATACATATAAATCAAATTGGAGTGTCTGTTTGTAATACTGAAATTACGGTTTATTACTACATGCATATGAATATAAATACCGTACATACACCAAAATAACATTTTTTACAATTTTTATCTGTCTGTCTCACAACTACATTCTCTGTCAATGAGGTGAACCGCTCCATGTTGTAATTTTCCAACTCTATATGTCTGTTTGTTCCGGCTAATCTCTGAAATGGCAGGACCAATTCTGGCGAGACTTTTTTGGCAGGTAGCTGATGTAATAAGGAGTAACTTAGGTTACATTTATTTAAAAAAAAATCTTTTATTGTAGATAATAAAATTAAATTCCATACGGACCCAGTCGCGGGTACAGATTTTAATATTGCAAATACTTTCACAGTAGGTATGTTTGTTACGCTTTCACACGAAAACTACTGAACCGATCATCATGAAATTTTGTACACATGTTCTTGCAGGTATTATAACATACATAGGATACTTTTTATTTAAAAAAAATGCATTCAATTCGAAGCCGCGGGTAAAAGCTAGTCTCAAATATAAGACCAAATAAAACTGCGAAATATAACAAATATGCGAGTAGATGGGGATGATTGGCTGTTGTGAGTCACTTTTGTCTGCTCACTTGTTCTACGGCGATGAGTGACAAACACGGGGCACAAAGCTAACGCGTCTGTCTTGTTCCGGAGGATCCCTTTGATGCCGCCGCCGCGCCGCGCCGCCCCGTCTGTAAACAAACAGCCGCTACTCAAACGAACTGTATCCACGTACTTTAGTACACGTCAGTAATGTGCAAGAGGATCCCGAGCGAGCAATTTGTTTATACGATAATATTGTAAAATTTTAAGCGTAGAAGAACTAATATGAACTAAGTTTAGAATTTATAAGAGAACAGTGGTATCTTAAGCGTCGGCAACGCGCACGTGACACCTCTGGTTTCAGCCGCTCCATAAGTCCTTCCTCTGGATTGGAGTGCCATCTGCACTCGCCCCCTATCGTCCGGTGAAGCTGTAAAGGCCAGCTGCGGACAGCATTAGAGTAGTCCGAAAAAAAAGGCGTCCATAGGTTACGCTAACTGTTTACCGTTAGTAGTAATTGAATTAAAAAAGAATCATAAACATCGCTCTCAAAATTAGTATTCTTCAAATATTGTAAATTACTCAGTGTGAAGTATAGTCGAATTATATATTATTCTACTAGCTATTCCAGCGACTTCGACCGGGAGGAATTTAACTTTATTTTTCTAAAATTAAAGAATTTAAATTAAAAGTAGCCTAAATTACTCCTTATTACATCAACTACCTGTCAAAAAAATCCCGTCAAAATGGGTCCAGTTATTTCAGAAATTAGTCGAAACAAACAGACAGACTGACAAATATTACAAACAGACACTACAATTTTATTTATATGTATAGATATAGTCGAATTGGGTAATAGAGGGTTATTTTGGTTGTTAATTAGGTCTAAAATTCTTAGACAAACAGCGATGTAACTCGCGATATGAAATGGTGGCACAGTCTTCACAGGGCCGCCGCTTCAATATTTGTTGGTTATATTTTATGAAGAGCGGTATTAAATTACAAACGTTTATAATATTAAATAGTACAATTACTCATAAAGATAATAATAGAACTGTTTTGTTTTTAATGTAAAAAAACTTAGTGCTAATTGTATTAGTTATCTGTGGTTATAGATAGTTTTAATCTTAGCTGTAGATTGCGTTGCATAATTTTTGTCTGCGTATAATGTACTTTCTTTTCAATATATGTATAAACCAAAATACTTACTTTTCATGGATGTAACATTTTATTATTTTATTCATATTAATTGCGGATTTGCCATCTTCTTATTACGTTATCACGTTCGTTATATATTACTGTAATAATTAAAGAGGGTTTGAATAGAAGGAGAATTGAAAGGAAACCTGAATACCAATATTCGAATATCTAGGTATATATCGTAATATCTAGGTATATATCGTAATAATTCACAGATATAATTAAGGATGCTCGATATTGGAAAATATCGGTGTCGACATCGAATTAAAAGTATCGATATATGATGAATATCGACTGATAAACATCGATGTTATCAAGTGTATGTCTGTATATGTATCTGATATCATGCCATTTTGCGTTTCAAATGACGATTTTTAAAGTATCAGATAACTGATCCTATTTTTCTATAACTGTATTGTAAGTGGCCTATGTCCAGCAGTGGACGTGTTCCGGGCTGCGATGATGATGATGATGATATTATAAGTTAATAATAATATTAATATTATTATTATTATTAAGTTAAGTATAATCAAATACTTGCCAAAACTTAAGAACATCTATGATTTTGGACAAATCGATTGACAATTGACAATATTGACAATATTCCCTAAGTAAAATACGGGCCATCTATGCATATAAATAAAATTGGAGTGTCTGTTTGTAATATTGAAATAACCGTTTTTTATTACATGCATGTGGATATAAATACGGTACATGCACCAAAATATCTTTTTTTCAATTTTTGTCTGCCTGTTTGTTCCGGCTAATCTCTGAAATGACTGAACCGATTTTGATGGGACTCTTATAGCAGGCAGGTAGCTGATGTAAGTTAAATTCCACGCGGACGTAGTCGTGTGTACAGTTAGTTACAAATAAAAATAAACTAATTCATTGGTATCAACACCAGTGGCAAAGTAATTCTTAAATAAGTGCATTAGTTCATTCACATTCGGTGTAACCTTTATTGTTAGTAGAAAAGTAAACAAACAAGAACTAACTGGCTGCAACACAGTCGGTCGCTTGGTTGGTTGCTCTGTTGCCGGGTGGTGCGTGGGCACGAGTCTAGTATATTATTATGTTGATTTGAAGGCGCGAGATCCGGCAGATGTTTGCAATCACGCCAATAATAACACTCATCAGGGAAATGATCCCTCCTCTATACATCACCATCTGTACGATTGCGCAGCTGTTTTCTCACCTATATAAACCTTTAATCCTTGCTTCTTACTAAAATTATAAATGCGAAATATCTTTATTTGTCTGCCCGGCAAAACTACTGGCTTTCAAGCCGAAACTACTGAACCGATTTAAATAAAATTTGATACACAGAGAGTCTAGACCTTGAGAAAGGACATAGGCTACTTTTTAATCCCAAAAAAAGGATTGTAAGGGGTTGAAAGGGGAGATATAGAATATAAAGGTTGTATGTACCTGTCGGCCCGCCTAAAGTACTGAATCGATTTAAATGAAATATGATACACAGAGAGTGTAGACCCTGAGAAAGGATATAGGCTACTTTTTAATATTAAAAAAGGATTGTTATGAGATATAAAGGTTTGTAAGGAAGTATTGTCATTCTTGAAGCTAGAAGATTGAGACTTATTCTTTGCGCTGTTGATTGAATTTAAATAAATAAATACGACCAAAGTTTGTAAAATGAAATAGGGGATAAAGTTTGTATGGAAATTTGTCACTTTTCAAGCTAGAACGATGAAACTTTTTTATTTGGTGTTTTTGGGTTAGTTTGTTAAATATTTTTACATTATTTGTTTATTTTATTCTTCAATACTTAAATAAGCTCATATAAATACTTTACGCATTTTATATAAATATTTTAAAAGGATTATAAAAGAATTTATACGTATGTAGTACCTATATTTGTAAAATTATTAGCCTAAATAATACAAATGCTATCCAAGATCACCATACCACGCGGACCAAGCCCCGGCACTGCTAGTATGTTATATATGTTATAATCGAACACGAGTGGTGTACAGAATCCAATGGACATGGAGCTTCTGTGCATTGTTTTCCGACACAACATTCATATAATGTCACGTGCCAAACAAAATGGTGGCAGGTAATTTCCCGCGTCTGAATAAATACTCATACCATTTTAAAATTAAACTTGTATGACTATAGAATAGAATAGAATAGAAAATCATTTATTCAAATAAACTTAATTTAAGCACTTTTGAATAGTCATAACAATTTTTTTCTATCTACCGCTCGTTCGGAATGCTGTCTCATCACAAGAAGAACAAGCAAGAAACTTGTGTGTTGCTCTTTTAAATAATCCTTGTAAGTTCACATTTACAAGTCGATACGTGTGAATACAAACTACCAACCAGCAGTAATTTATTTGGATCAAATATAAATATACAATACAATATAATGTATGTCAAATGTTGTACACTAGTTAATAACCTCGGCTTCGCACGGGTATACATGTATTGTACATATAAACGTTCCTCTTGAATCACTCTATTTATTTGCTAATAACTGCATTAAAATCAGTTGCGTAGTTTAAAAGATCTAAACGAACAGACGGCGGAAATGACTTTATTTTACACTATGTAATGATATACAAGTATAATTTCCGAGAGGATAGTCAGCGGCAGCGTCAACTGTCGACGTCGGGAACACGAAGAAAAAGTGTGAATATATACATATACATACCAACATATTGATCACTTATAGATACATAAATGAAAATTGTTTTATGAAATATTATAAGCCTGTGTTCGCGCTGGTCTTTGCCTCGTACTGGGAATCTATAGCCATGCATTTAAAAAAAAAGGCGGGTCACTTGTTCGCATTGCCGCCATTTTTGCAAGGTCGTATCAAATAAATTTTTTTTTTATTTATCCATATAGGAAAGGCAAAGAGTTTGAGCCCATACAGCCGTTGTCTTTGGTATAATTTCTGTATTAATTCAATATTAAAATACTTCTGTTATAATTTGCAAATAAAATACAGCAAATCAAGAAAAGACTGTATGTGTATCATAACTAGTTCATGAAAAGCAGTGCAGTGTGGTAAATCTGCCGAAAGTTCCCGGGAACGAAGATTGTGCAAGTTTGGCGACAAGGTCAGTGTGCATTTTTGATTTCCAGTGCCTATTATTGGATATTAAAGTTAAAAATATATTACTCGAACACCTCGTATGTTAGGTCCGGTAACCGATTCCGGTCTACGTTCACATAACGAGCGGAGAATCTTCAAAAGGAACCCGTTCAATAAAAATTCTATTGTATTTCAATGCTGGCTGGTCTCGCGGAGCACTTTCGCGTTCTTTTCATATATGTACTTGTACGAACTCATATTTGTTCACACATATATATGTGTTTGCCGATATATATATATATATATATAAAGCTGAAGAGTTCGTTTGTTTGACCGCACTAATCTCAGGAACTATTGATTAGAATTCAACAAATATATTTTTATTGTATAGTCCATTTGTCGAGGAAGGTTTTAAGCTATATAATATTACACTAGGACCAATATAAATAGAAATAATCTTTATTCAAATAAACTCATTACAAGCACTTTTGAATAGTCATATTTTGATTCTACCACTCATTCGGAATGCAGATTCATCACAAGAAGAATGAGCAAGAAACTTGTGTGTTGCTCTTTTGAATAGATGTTTTTTTTATATAAATAATTACAGTATAACAAGTAAGAGGCATGTAATAATCAACATAGAAATCGCTTGGCACTCATTATTAGTGTAATCAGATAATATTGTCAGTGCTATGGATTTTAAGTTTTTCTATAAAAACATTATTGTCGTTAACGAATTCTTCAATTTTATAGTAAGCTTTTTTACAAAGGAACTGTTTTATATGACATTTAAATCTTTTTTCATGCAGATTTATAATAGACTCTGGTATTTTGTTGTAGGAGCGAAGCATCAGTGAAACATGTTG